GGGTGTTTTTCGTGTTATAGATATGGGCTCACTGAGCGAAGAATGTTTAAGGATGTTTAAAAAAACGTAACGGTGTCTCAGCCACGCGAGCATCGTATGAGGCGACAGTTAAATGTGAATTGTGGGTATTCACGATTTTTGACGGGGGAGGGTGTAACGGGGCTACACAGACCCTTGTATCAAAAAACGAGTCACACAAGATGGTGTGGCCGTACATAGGTGTGGATTACATAAGTTGGTGTACTCACACAATGATGTGGCTACACCGTAACAAGAAGCCACTACGTGCCAGTAATTACGCATATTAATTAGGTTTTATTACTACATTAATCAGGAAAGCCCAAGGTTTTAGATTTAGGCGGGGCTCTTGTAAAGGAGAGTTCATTTGCCTTAGTTAAGGTTTTGGGTGTTCTCTTGAAGTTACTGCGATCCGCTACACTCTTACTGGTTCTTGTTTAGAGCCTAGGGTCGGTTGCCTTGGGTAAGCTTCCTCTAAGCATAGAGCTAAGGCAGCTTCGCTGCACTTCGAGTTCCCAAAAGCAAATGAAAACGCACCCATACCACAATCTTGCTATTACGAGCCTGTCGGTCGTGAGAGCTTTGTTGCAGGAGTCGGAGCAAAGTCTCGATAATATCATGTAGAAGAGATACCCTCTACCTCAAAGCAGCGGTACGCTCCAAGCCGCAAGGGGTACGTTAGGCTAGGCAGTGGATGACGAAGAGCAAGTTTAAGATCTCGCATCGGTCACACGCAGTTTTACTCCAAAAGAGAGAAACGTGCCGACACAATCGAGGTAGCTCTCAAGGGAGGGTTGATCTCTGCTAGCACTGCTTGATTAGCAAAGAACAGACCACTTCCACGCGGATCGTTTGGTAGATTGATGAGTACGCTAGAGTTGTTTCTCATACTGGTGAGACACGCTTCAGCACATCTGCTAACACAATTAAGCTTGTGACATGATACTACAGCTGCTGACGACGTGACAAATGCCGGGTGCGTCGATGGTGTTAAAAATTATTCTTAGTCAGAAATCTCGTGGGAAATTGAGGTTTCACTTTGGCAAGATTACCCTCGTGCCGAGACAACATACTGGCAAACCTCGGTCTTAGGTGTTATAGCTGTCTCATATAGACGAACGAGGCTGTCAGCAACAGGATCACGAGGTGATGGTTTGTCAACTCGGCGTCCACGTCGAGCGTTGAGCCTCGCCAGCCAAGCGTGAGATAACGCTTTAGGCGGATGCCCGCTTCGCTAAATCTGGCTTAAAATGTCTTGGCCCAGACGAGGCGAGGCGTATGTGTGCAAATTGAGTCATGTTTGTAGTAACGCTATTGCCAGCTTCAAACACGAAGCTACATTTCTTACGGAGCATTGGTGCTTCCCTGACTGCTGCTGTTTTGAGCGCAGACGACAAATCCCGGGAAGTGATGGCTTGAAAATCGAAAAGGCGCTCGCATAGCGACTTTCTTGCAATCGGATCTCTATGAAAGCCTCCCATGCTTGTGTATAAAACATCTTCACACCAGCACGGTGAGCAACTTTGGACGGTTGATAAGCGCAGCTAGGACTCATTTGGGAAGCGGCGTTGGAGCTGTTGTGCTTGCATTTAAGCAGGCTGGACCCCATGAGCTAGTTTAGTGTGTGAGTAAATAGCTGGATATTGTCATGGGGTCCGTGGTGATGTGTGCTGAAACACTTCTAGCTGGTGGAAAAGAACACTAGCGTTCGAGACTTGTGAAACGAGGAGGCTCATCACACAGAATTCCTTTTTCTTTCGGAACGGCTTGACCATGTATATTCGGGTGAGCACAGAGGTTTTTGGTCCGGCTTCCGAAAACCGCAATTTTAGCGGACGCTCTTTGTTTTATTCAATTTGGTGCGCGAGACCGAAATCTCGGCATAAGTACGCTTAGAAGATCAGGTACCACAAACTGCAAAGATTTAAGTAGAACTCCAGGTGCTGTGGTTTCTCGTGGAGCAGTCACTTTTGCGCAGTGTCTTATGAGTAGGAACTCCAGTCTGCTCCATCCCCTATGGAAGAGAGTGTGACAAGGTGATTGTTATTAACTTGAGTGCTTATTTCTTACAAGCTCGATACAGCTGTACAAAACGCATATTGTATATAGTACCGAAGTATAGATATATATTTACATACTGAAAGCTTCTAAAGGAGTGGTCCGTGATACGCGTGGGCTGCTAGACGCATTTCACAAGCATAAAGATAACTTTATCATAGTAGGAAGTAAAACTTATCGTTAGTAGTAGCCCGTAAACATTATTATAGATGTATGAACTCTTGAAAAGCAGAGCTCACTGAACGTATGTTCATGGTATAGACTCTCGCAGTTAAAGACCTGACATTATTTCTCAGCAGAGAGTTGTTTTCTCTGTGTTGGGAGACTCACGGTGACTCTCCGAGTCTCTCCTCCCCTAGAGACACCGACAAAGCAGCTCACCGAGGAAGAGATGTTCACCATGCTGTGGATTTGATCTACACAACTACGTACTTTGCATTAAAAATACAGCTCACGACGACGTCCAGCCCGTTACAAATAAGACGGGCCTGGCTCAAATTGCGGAGTTTGTTCTTATGCAAGCGCAATGGACGCAACGGCTTTTGCAGAATCATTGACGCCGTGATTAAGGATGTTTTCTATCCGAAATTGCTCGCCACACCCAGAGTAATGCCCTTTCACGCCTAGGCGTGCAATCCTTGCTCAAAAATGAGAGAAACAAAGGCTTGAAAGGCGTGAAGCTATTTGTCTTCCTGAACCTGAGCTTGCTTGAGTGAGCTGCTCTTTCCCAATTTTGCCAGCTTCGGAATCCGAGTAAGGTCTACTTGATCGCTGCTGCTCTAAGTGCTGGCAATGCTTTTGAGAAGTGGCGACCTGAGGAGCTTTGAAGTCTTAAGATGTGCGCGGGCAAATAGATCTAGTCCAGATTCTAGTCATTAACAATGCCAAAAACACAGCAAGATGCTTTACCGTATTCTATTTGAGCCATGCATTGAAGGAAGGATCTTCAGAATACTCTAGTGCTCCCATAGAAAAATTGGCGTCAGAAATTGCTAAATAGCACGCCAATTTGACGAGTTGTGATTAGTCGAAAGTGTCAAATTGCTGAATATGGACATGAATAATCCAACAAAAACTTTGTTATTCTTCTACTGCACAGCAAAAATCAATTAATATTTTACTGCAAAGACAGGAAATTCCAATTTGAGGTTTATTGCTTCTGCGGGGAGCGATTGTGCGCTCAGAACGATTTGCTGGTTGAACTTCCGGGAGGCCGGGCACCTCTGGGCGCCGCTCCGGCGCCAACGCTTCCGCGTTTACTTGCACCGGATACCGGTGCGGCTTAAACAACGCCACATAAAACGCCGGATGGGGGCGCATTCTTCGTGACGTATCCGTTGAATTGGTGCTATAATACAGCAACCCGTTGCTCAACGAATACCGGCGTAATTGTGCGCGCAAACGCGCCGAAAATTTCTTGTCCAAAATTCCCAACTCTTTGTCCCAAGTGCCGACTTCATCGCAAGTATTATTCTGTCGTGGACCCGGTAATTCTTCTTCACAGCCTTAAGCTGGTGAGATCCGAACGCAATAACCCCATCACGCTCATCGGCATCTGCTTGCAGCAGTGCTTAGCCGACGGGAAAGCTCGAAGCGTCATAGACGACACAATGAGGACGATCGGGGTCTGACAATGCCAGTATTGTGCATGAAGGAGGCTGTCTTTGACGCTGTCAAAAGCCTCCCGATGCTCGGTGTCCCAACACCATTCCGTATGCATCTTGAGGAGATTCAACAATGGCCGTGCAATTTCCGTATAATTTGCGCTATACCTATGCAAGTAGTTGGCGTGGCCAAGCCACTTGCGCAAGTCCTATTGGTTCTTGAGAACTGGCCAGTCCACAATTGCCTTAACCGTAGCGGGATCCGCTCGAAGGCTACGCTTCCCAATGAAGCATCCATGAAAGTAAAATTCTTCAACACCGACGATGCACTTATCTGCATTAGCATACAGTTTATTCGTGCGCATGCACTCGAGCACCGCTCTCAAATGAACGATGTGTTTCTCCTCATCTGTCCTCGAGGTCCTCGCACGACTGTGGACAAAGATGTTATCAAAATTTGTCTGTGCATACGCCTGATGGGGCCTACGATTGCGTCACAAGATGAATAAATGTTGCTGGTGCGTTTGACAGCCCTTGAGGCATCACCAGCCACTCCCAGAGCATTCCACTCGAAGTACTCAGAAGTACTCACCGCTGTCAGCGGAATATCACTAGCTCTCATGAGCAATTGGTTATACCCATCGACCAAGTCGAGTTTGTACAGCCAGCCATGTTTTTCCGGAGAACATTTATCTTAGGATTCGGCGTTTGTGCCGGAATAGTGACAGCGTTTAGCTTATTGTAAGCGTGAGCGATACGCCACTTGCCGTTCGGCTTCCGGACACAAAATATGGGAAGACCGGCTCTCACGCACCATTCCCATAACGATTAAACATACTCTGGTAACAGGGGTGTGTGTCACACCAGATGGGCATGGTGTGACCACACCCAAAGAAGAATACGGTACGGGGCTGGATAGCCAGTAGTTATACATGTATTTAGATTTTACTTTACATATTTAGAAAAATAAATGCATTTAAAATTAGAGGGCTTTGCCGTAGATATATATAAATAAAGTCAGATTTGCTTTCAAACGGAAGAGTTCATTAGCCTTGGGTTAAGGTTGTAATCACTTTGGAGCAAGCGGATTGCGATCCGTTAAACTCGTACTTGTTCTAAGCATAGAACGAAAGGTCGGTGACCTAACCTACGCTTTCTCTAAGCGCAAAGCTACGGCAGCCCCGCTGCACTTGGAAGCACTTGTAGTCAATCTACACCTCAGTCGTTACGACTGATTCTCTGTGAGGATGGAAAACTTAGGGCATGCAGGACGGGCTTAAAAAGCTGATGCT